ATATATGAAGTTAAAGTAAGGACGGGGTGATCATTTGTTCTGCAAAGAGGAAATGGGCTGAAATTGTAGGAAGAAAATTCAGTTAGAAATAGGCTGAAATTCTTGATTTCAAGAATGATTAAATACTGAAATAAAATGGCAAGGAAGACTGCATTTTTCATCCCTAAATATGAACAGATTACAGAGACAGCAGTCTCGCGTAATCAGCACATTGAGTCTAGAAGCAGGATTCACACAGTGCCCTCTCGGTTTCTTTTAGCATTCTGAGTTCTTCACTCTTTGGTATTTCATACAATGTTCCATTTATATTATAAGGTGAGTTTTAATAAAAATGACAGAATTGATTCTAGCAGCTTAAAGCTGATAAAATCTTCTGAAAGAAAGGCAAAGTGATTTTTTTTAAAGAATTTTAAAAGTTAAGATCTTGCTAAAAGAGATTGTTCAGTGTTTAGAAAAACTTGAGTAGCCTCTTGCTTTTTTTTTTTTTCCCTGTAGGATTTAAATGTAAGTCCTTTACATTTAAAAGGATTGTGGGGTATATAGTTCTGTATTTTCTGTGCGTGCTTTTCTAGGACCAAGTCACGGAGAACATCTGCAACATAAAATAGAGTCCTTAGAATAGATCATCACAATATCATTTACAAAAGTAGTAATTTGTATTCATTTTGTTTGTTTTTTGGTGTTTGTTTTAGGCACCTAGTGACAATGGTTCTAAAATCCAAAGCTTTATTTTAGAATGGGATGAGGTAAGTAAATTGAATTGTTTTATTTTTAGATGTTTAAACTAATACGCATATCTTCAGGCAGAAATAACTTTTTTGTCTGTTTTAATTTTTCTTCTTTCACAAACAGTATGAATGATTTTGTGTGGCGCATGAGTAGATTGATGGTGTTTCAGAAAACATTGCTGACTGAACTTCCCTATGTTCTGTTTTGATTTTTTTCCCCAACTGAATCACCATCAAAACTGTTACTTAGGGAGTTCAAGATCAGCTGAGCAAGAATGAGACCCTGTCTCTTCTAAAAATAGAAAAATTAGCCAGGTGCAATGGCATATTCCTATAGTCCCAGCTACTCGGGAGGCTGAGGCAGGAGGATTGCTTGAGCCCAGGACTTTGAGGTTGCAGTGAGCTGTGATGATGCCACTGCACTCTACCTAGGTGACACAGTGAGACTCTGTCTAAAAAAAAAAAACTGTCACTAAAGTAATTACCTTGATGAAGGAACTTTTTTTTACATCAGCCTTAAAGACAAGTGTTTTCATTTCCTATGGCTGCTGTAACAGATTACCCCAAACTTGATATTAAAACATCACATCTGTTCTCTACAGTTCTAGAGGCCAGAAATCTGGAATGGGTTTCACTGGGCCAAAATCAAGGTGTCAGCATGGCCATGCTCCCTCTGGGGACTCTAGAGGAGAATTTGTTTCCTTGCCTTGACCAGCTTTTGCGGGCTGTCCTTATCACTTGGTTCATGGCCACATCACATTGCCTTTCATCTCCTTGCTTCCATCGTCACGTCTTCTTCCTCTTCTGTCTTCAAATCT